GAGTGTGAGCTGCATATAATCTGGAGCCCAAATGGACAGATTGAGAGAAGAACAGAAAGCACCCCCTCCAAAAAAAAAGAGGGGAGTTAGAGGCTTATTATGGTGTAATAAAGAGGTAAAAGCCACTCTGGTGGTTGTTATGTGCTGTCGAGTTGGAACCAGCTCATAGCTGACCCTCTGGTGAGTTTTCAGAGAGAATAAATCCCACAGGAGGAGATTATCCATCTCCCAAGGAACAGTTGGTGGATTAGAACGTGCTGCCTTTGGGTTGGCAGTGCTACTCCTTATCACTAAACCACAAAAACTATAGCTTTATCTGTGATTCCCGCTGGTAGCCTAGTGTATAAGAAATTGCTCTGCTAACCCTAAGGCATGCAGTTCTAGTTCATCAGCTGCTCCATGGGAGAAAGATGGTCTCCTCTTGTGCGATTTCCAGCCTCTGAATCCGTGCTGAAGTCTCAATTATGAGTGAGTTTGGACTTGATGGCACGTAACAACATAAAGAGGTAGAGTGTTTGAAGATGACGGCAGTACCTCAGACTTCGTGTGTAACAGGAGCCAAATGGAAGAGTTGAAATGGTCATCGCTTTAGTCTAATGTATCCCTCTGGGATGTTGCTTTAATATGAAACATTTTCTCTGTATTTTTAAAGATCATGTATAGTCTGCAATCTAATTTGTTTGTTTTCTTTTTTTGTAGGTAAACAGCTCTTCTTACAAGGAAAATGGCTAAGGCCAAATAACCATTCAAAGACAGGCTTAAGCTCTTCAACAACATTGCCTTTAAATAACTTGCTGCCAAAATGTCATTTTATACCTCTCGTAATCAAAACAGCAGTGATTTTCTTGCTATTCTTTCTTCCCAGAAGGATTCATCCTTGAATGTCCCCTCTCACAGTAGCCGGCTTAAGCTTCCTTTGAAGTCAGAGATGTCAGAAAGTGAAAATGATGATCCATTATCAAGATCTGCACATAAGGTCAAAAGCATAAACTGCACTTATGTTATTTCTGCCTGTAAAAAACCAGGAGATCTACCTCTGACCCCTAAGCCTGAAGATAGATTGACACTTCAGAGAAGAGTTACAAGGAGCAAAGAGTCGTCTTTGCTTAGTAGTGTGTTGGGAGATGTGACTGAAAAACCAGCTGAAAAACGTTTCACGTTACAACGTCGTGGGAAAACAGATTCCTTGGAAAAGTGGAAAACACAGAAAAGGGGAGGTGAATTAGAAGGTGACTGTGCTTCACAGGAAACTAGGAGCAGCATAAAAATTGTAAATCCTGATAAAAACTCTTTTGCCTCCTCTTCTGCACCTTTAACTGAAGACTCAAAAAACATTGAAATGATGACTGTTGAAAAATGCAAAGAAACCTTTTCTTCTTCTAGTGATGGAAACGTTGCTCTTAAGTATTTAAGTAATAAGGCACCACTTGATTCTCAGAGTCATACTGAAGTTAAGTCAGGACACTCAATGACAAAACCTATTCAGAGCAAGTTGGATATTCAAGTGTCTGCAACAGAAAACTTACAGCACAGAAGTGTTGGAAGGGATTTTGTGAGAAATTCAGCTCTTAAATTGGGAACCCTAGAAAAAGCAAGAACACCCACAAAATATGAACACAGATTTACCCCAAAGAGCAGTGTGTCTCAGCTTAAGAGTCCAGCTGCATCAATACTAAAAAATCGGATGCCTAGCCCTCAAGTTAAACAAAGGCCAAAAAGCTCCCTGCTTGTGAATAAAAATGAAAGGTCATGTGAAAATACACTCCCTCCTGAAGAAGAAACCACAATGCAGAACGCCTCGACAGAAGCAGATCCCTTAAAAGTAGAGAATAGTCAAGTGACAGTAGCTGTTCGTGTGAGGCCTTTCAGCAAGAGGTATGTGCGCATTTAATAATCTAAACACAAGCCAGTGCTATGTAATGCCACCTGCCTCTGGAAATCCTGTGTCTTCATAGTCTACCTTGTTGGCAATATTGTCACATAGAGAGGACTTTTAGGTTTCCTTGTAATAATGCTGTTTCTTATAATGATTTTACAATGAAAAATTGAAAAACCATTTTCTAAATCACCATTCCCCCCCCCCCCAGATATATTCTTTTTCAGAATTCTTAATGAGTCGCTTATGTGTCTGGAGCAGTCTGCTTTTCTGTAGACTATTGTGAGATCTATGACTTTGCCCTTAAAAAGAGCCCTGCTGGGTCATTCATGCCTCAGAGATCCTGGCAGGACCCCTTCCAGAGTCGTGGTCATCACCGTCATCATCTCAGACAGATAGAAAGGGATTAGAAAGGCAGTGTTTTGTTAGGCTTGATTCTGGAAGCAGAAAACATCTCTCTCCATAAAGTGATTGGTGGGTGGGGGGATAACAGAATAGGAGCAGGGCTGCAACAGATGGATCCGACAAAGTGTGAATGTGGCATTTAATTATTTAAAAGTATTTTGAGAGAAGACAGTAGAAAAACTTAACAGAGTCAGCAGTAGTTTTATCCTTGAAGATCTGTATTTGAGGAAGGAAACAATAGTGGTGACCAGGTGAATTGACAAAATGACTGCAGGAATGGGCTTGAGGGGTTAGCTTGTGAGGATGACACAGTGTATAGGACAGGGCTCAGATTGGTTGTTTACAGGATCGCTATGAGTTATACTCGGCGGCACCTAACAACAACAATAAAGGCTAAAATATGTGTGAGAGTTCATTTGGCTTTCTAGAATATAGAAAAAATAGAAAGAAATAGACAATAGAAAGAAAGACAACAGAGAGAACCGAGCTTGTAGGGACAAAAGATAGGGACTATAATGGTAAGAATAATGATTTCCGGACTTGTCAGATGAGCTTAGAAGCAGGGCTAGGGTGGAGAGGCTTTGTCAGAATATGAACCATGTAGTTTCCAGGATGGTTTCTGATCTGAAGCAAAGTCAGGAGGTTAAGAGATATCTGGGGCCAAAGGTTCATTGTGTGTCTGCAAAACTAGAATAAGTGAAAGATATCAATCTTAGTCTCAGGTAAAAAGAAGGACAGATGTGAAAATCCATGACTGAGAGAATTTGGAAAAGGAGTAACTTTGGATGAACAGGGGCAATAGCTGGTAGCCAGAAGAGACTTAGATTTTGAGTGATATTAAATAGAGTTTATTGAAAGGATTTTAATTAATTTTTCTGTTATATAGATTTATACTTCAAAATGTCTTTGAAATATAGAGATATATATTGTTGTTGTTGTTGATTGTCTTCGAGTCAAGCATAACTCACAGTGACCCTATGAACAAAAGGCCTGAAGCCTTTCTACAACTATCAACATGTATCAAAGTTCATAGTTATGGAGGCATGTTGTTTAGGAAGTGGATGCCACTCCTCTGTAATTCTGAGATTTGAACTATAGGTAGAATAGAAAAAAGGATATCTAAAGAGAAAGGGGGAAATCCAGTAAAAGTGGCATAGCTTTTCTGTAAAAGAAATCTGGAAACCCTTTTCCCCTCTAAGTAGTGGCATTGGAGCTACTATCTTTTGGGAACTTATTATCACTTGTTTGCTATTTGCATTTCCACATAAAATTGAAGAATTATCTTGTTTTTGAGAAATGTTATATTAACTAGGTGTGTCGGAGACAATAAGATTGGCACAAGATAGAGCCAGGTTTAGGGCTGTTGTACATAGGGTCGCTATGAGTTGTAGGTGACTCAATGGCACATAACTGTCTGTCTGTCTATCTGTCTATTTATATCTTTTTATCTATGTATGTCTATCATCTGTTTATCTGTTTATCTAGCTGTAATCCATATCCTTATATCCAATGGGAATAGTACTCAATTAAAGTAACTTTATTTTTTCTAATTTTTTTTTTTTTTAAAGAGAGAAGATTGACAAAGCTTCCCAAGTGGTCTTCCTGAATGGGGAGGAAATAATCGTGCAACATCCTGACATGAAACAAGTTTATAGTTTTATTTATGATGTTTCCTTCTGGTCTTTTGATGAATGTCATCCAAACTATGCTAGCCAGACAACTGTTTATGAGACTTTAGCACTACCCCTCCTGGAAAGAGCCTTTGAGGGCTACAATACCTGTCTTTTTGCTTATGGTCAGACTGGCTCTGGAAAATCATATACGTAAGTTTTACAGACACAGCATGGTATAGTAGAAAGTTTTGAGACCACACAGATCTGAGCTCAAATATCGGCTCTTTTGCGTACTGCCTTTAACAACCTGAACAAGTTGTTTTTTATACATGTGGTATTCTAAGTATCATTGGCCTCATTTTACTGCAAGTTATACATCTTGAATAAACTGAAGTCCAGGGAGGTTACTTAAAAGTATTACTGTAAAAAGAAAAATAAAGAATCTAGTAAATGGTAGCTATGCTGGTAGAGTGTATAGCATTTTATACTACTAGCCAAGAGCTCAATTTCTCTAGTGGTTTGAATCCACCAGAGGCTGCTACAAGGGAGAAAGATGGGCAGTCTCTTCCTGTGAGATTTATAGCTTCAGGAACCTGATGGAGACTCACTGTGAGTCAGAATTAATTTGTCGGCATCAAATGACTGATGGTGATACATGTCCTAGAAAGAAATATTCAGAATTTTAATGGTAGCTAATATTTACGGAATTATTCCTATAGTCTAAGCACTATGCCAAAGACTTCACTAGTATTTTTATCAACCCTCTAAGTTAGATGTCTAGTACCTTTTCATAGAAGATAAAATTGCAGCTTCATGAGACTCAGTATCTTGTCCAGAGACACTGAGTTGATCAGTAAAATCAAGGCTTGAACTGAGGCAGGTTTGGCTCGAGAACCCAGGTTCTATGAGATTTCAGGAACTGGCTTTTCCCATTCTCTTCCCCCAAAATGATTAAACACAAACATACAGGTGAACTAGTTTTATTTTGTCCTTATTCATACTCTTTTTTACAGGATGATGGGGTTTAGTGAAGAACCAGGAATAATCCCACGATTTTGTGAAGATCTTTTTGCACAAGTAGCCAAAAAACAAACTGAAGAGGTATGTACTCACAGGACCTCCAAGCCTGCTTATTAGACTAGAAAGGAACCAAATCAAATTAAAATCAGGACTTGGCCACTAAGGAAATACTTGGTGGAAGGTTTATTTCTAATATCTAGGTCACCCTTCTTTTCGACAGTGATACGGAAAGGGAGAGTGGGGTTTCTAAATTTAGAATAAATTCCTGGACAATGATAGAGGAGGTTATCACTTCCCTTTTCTTTACCTTTTTTTCTTTTATGTATGTGTAAACTCAAACTCATCACTGTCAAATTGATTCTGACTCTTAATGACCCTCACTGGGTTTCTTAGGCCGTAAACTTTAATGGGAGGATATTGCCTCTCTCCCTTGCGCTTCTGATGCTCACATAATGATACATATGTACTAGTATGTCTCTTCTGTAGTCCAGCAACCGGGGTGCTTCCTTAGAGCCAAGGATGATGAAACTTTGTCACATGTACTTTGTCATGTTGTCAGGAGGTGCCAGTTTTTAGAAAAGGACATAGACTGGGGGAAAAACAGCCTTAAAAAAGAGGACGATCCATGAGGAGAGGGATCGACAGTGACTGCAGCACAGGGCATGAATGTGGAGGAGATAATGAGGCACAGGCAAGGGCACAGTTTCCATCTGTTTGTTAGAGGGTCACTATGAGTCATGGTTGACTTAATAGCACCTAACATCAGCAACATAGTTCAGCAGATACTTAGACTCAACTTACAGACAGGGACCATAAGCATTTGGACAATATGGATCATAAAGAGATTTCTGAAGTTGGAATTCAAACCAACTTCATAATCTCGAGATACCATATTCATTCTACTATAATCTGAAAGGTTTGGGCTTGCTCTGTTTTTCATTCATTCATTCATTCATTCATACATTAGCGAATATTTATTGAGCATTTACTGCTTGCCAGACTAATTTCTTCTCCAATTTGCTTGGCCATAAGAATCACTAAGATGTGGCAGGGGGTAGCTGTGTGTGTACTTGTTAAAAATATTTTCAGGATATTCCAATTGAGTTAGAGATAAATCCTGAAAATTTATAGTTGCCAACTTTTCGCTCAGTAATTGTTTTGGTAAGGAAAAGTGGGAAAAGATTATTCTAAAGCTGAGAATTTCAGTTTCCTATATTTAAGAATCTTACAGTATAATAACAAACAATGGTATAGAGGGTTAAAATATGTCAGCAAATACCAGTCACAGTTTATTAAATGCCAAATAAAGTAAATGTAATAGAGTAAGAACAGGGTGCTATGAGTAAGGCTAGAACTGGGAATAACTGGGCTTGATTTTGAAATGCACATAATATACCTAAGTCAAGTTGAAGAAGAAGGAGAAAACACTCCAGGCAGAGGGCAGCATGTAAGAAAATGGGAAACCTTTGAAGAACTATAACCTGATTACTTTGTGTATGGAATTTGAGATTAAACTTGAGTTGAGGTGGATCTCAGTTCACGGATTTTAAACCATGTTCCATGGGAGACTAGAAGAACTGTAAGCAGAGAAGTAGTTTACTCATACTTACTTTTTAAAAAAAAAAATTATTAATTTTAATGAATATTTACAGAGATTTTGGATTTCTGTTCATTCATTGTTTCACTTTTCTCCCTGCCCAGCCCTCCCCCCCCATTCGCTTCTTTTTGAAAAGTAAAAGAAAAATTCCTTCTTTGGTATATAATCCCCCCGCACCCCTGCCACCGCCCCAATCTGGACTCTTGTGATAACCATAATACCCTATCATATACCAGTTTTAAATTATTCTCTCCCTCATCTGTTTCAGTGCAGTATACATAATTTATCCAGTTTTTCTCAGTCTTACCCCAACCCTGATATCAGTCCCATTCTACAACAGTGACACTATGCAGTATCTGTCCTTTTATGCCTGAGATATTTCACTCAGCATAATGTCCTCCAGGTTCACCCATTTTGAATAATATTATATGAGTTCCTTGTTTTTCAATGCAGTGTAGTATTCCATTGTGTGACTATACCACAGCTTCTTTATCGATTCGTTTGTTGATGGGCACCTGGGTTGTTTCCAACTCCTTGCAATTGTGAACAAAGCCGTGATAAACATGGGTGTGTATATATCTTCTTGGATGTCGGTTATGGTCTCTTTAGGGTATATTCCCAGTATTGGAATTGCTGGGTCAAATGGTATCTCTATTTGCAACTTTTTGAGAAAGCGCCATACCACTTTCCACAGTGATTGTACCATTTTACATTCCCACCAACAATGAATAAGGGTTCCAGTCTCTCCACAACCTCGCCAGCATTTGTTACTTGCTGTTCTGTTAAATTTTGGTTATTCTGACTGGGGTGACATGATATCTAATAGTTGTTTTGATTTGCATCTCTCTTAGAGGAAGGGATTTTGAACATTTCTTCATGTGCTTTTTGGCCATCTGAATGTCTTCTTTGGTGAAGTGTCTGTTCATATTCTGTGCCCATTTTTCAGTTGGATTATTTACCTTTATCCTGTTGTGGTGCTCAAGTATTTTATAAATCCTAGGTATAAGTCCCTTATCTGACATATCATTCTTTCCCAGTCTGTGGCTTCCCTTTTTACCCTGTTGGAGAAGTTTTTGGATGTGCATAGGGATTTGATTTTTAGAAGGTCCCATTCACTATTTTATCTTCTCCTGGTTGTAGATCATACTTGTTGTGTTGTTGTTGTTATGTGCCATCGAGTCATTTGTGACTCATAGCGACCCTATATACAACAGCCCTAAACCGTGCTCTATCCCGTGCCAATCTCATTGCCTCTGACACACCCACCCAGATTACCCCAGTCACTGAATCAGTCTACCTCATAGAGGGTCTTCTCCTCCTGCGCTGTCCCTCTACTCTACCCAGCATGATGTCCCTCTCTAAAGACCTGTCTCTCCTTACAACATGTCCAAAGTATGTCAGGCAAAGCCCCAGAATCCTTGCCTCCAAGGAGCAGCCTGGTTTAACCCTCTCTAGGATGAATCTGTTTATTTTCTTGGCAGTCCATGATACATTCAATTGAAGAGAAGTAGCACTAGCTGTGGAACTTGTATGCTGGGTAAGATAAAGGACTAAAGATAGTGACGGTAGGGATGGGCTTACATTTAGACCTTTTTTTCTAATTAATGAAATTTTACTGAGACTTTGGATTTCCATTCATTCATTGTTACACTTTTCTCCCTGCCCACCCCTGCCCCCCTAGTTCACTCTTCTCTTTGGAAAGTAAAAGAAAAATTCTATCATTGTTTTACAATTCCTCTCCCCAGGTCCACTCCACTATGCAGCCTTCATTCAGGACTCCTGTCATGACAATAATACTCAATCATATATCCCTTCTAAACAGTTTTCTCTCTCATCTGTTTCAATGCAGTATACATTATTTATCCCATCTTTCTCAGTCTGCCCCCAACCCTGAAGTCATTCCTGTTTTACAGCAGTGGCACTATGCAGTATTTGTCCCTGTGTAACTGAGATATGTCACTCAGCATAATGTTCTCCACGTTCACCCATTTTGAATAATATTTCATGAGTTCCTTGTTTTTCAATGCAGCATAGTATTCCATTGTGTGCCTATACCACAGCTTCTCTATCCATTCGTTTGTTGATGGGCACTTAGGTTGTTCCCAGCTCTTTGCTATTGTGAACAAAGCTGCCATAAACTTGGGTGTGCATACATTTAGAACTCTTAATACATAGAACTGATTGGACTTCATGACAATAAGAAATGGAGGAAGAGGGAGGGAAGTATCAATGTTTCTAGTTGGGAACTAGGGTGGATATTAATGTTATTTATTGAAAGCAAAAAAGGAAAATCAGAATAGAACAAATTATGACTTCTGTCCCTCTGTGGATTCAATGCCCCTCCTCTATGCAACTTTTCTTCCTCTTCAGCTTCCCATTTCCAGTACTTAAATTAAAAACAGAAGGCTGAAGGAGAGCTATAGATTAGGGAAGATCTTCATGATCTGGAGGCTAGGATAAAATATCCAACTTTAGTAGGAATGAGAGTTGCACACTTATAGACCAGACATAGAAGGCTATTGGGAGTTTAAGATTTTAGAGGTGGAGTAGTTTGATGGTAATGAAAATTAGATAGATGAAGTAGAATGGAGGCTGAGGTCTTTTGAGTAAAGTTACAAAATTGGGAGGTTGCATTACAAGACTGTTGCTGAGAAGAATGAAGTGTAATGGTTAAGAGTGAGTTTTGGAGTTTATTTGACTTTAAACAATATATGTAACCCCTCTGTTTTAGTGTTCTTACCTGAAAAACAGGTGATAATGATGGTGACACATTTCTTGCAGATTTTGGGGGAGCTTTAAATAATTAATCTATGCAAAAAGTTTAGAAGATTGCCGGGTACATAGTCAATGCAATATAAGTAATTTCTGTTTTATCATCTTTGGAATGATTCAGGATAGTGGAAGGGCAGTTATATATTAGTGGGGGCAGTGGAGAGTGGAATAGCCAGCATGATGGAAAGAGCCACAAAGGAGAGAAAAAGCATGGTCCTCTATCCTGTGGGTCATCTACTTCCTCGGTTCATCTCCTTCTGTATTTTCATCATTGGATACCGTTATATAGTAATCATTACATGTTGTCATCTAGTCAATACTGACCCCTGGGACAGAATAGACCTGCCCTGTAGGGTTTCCTTCGCTGTAATTTTTCCAGAAGAAGACTGGCACATCTTGCTCTCTCAAAACAGCTGGTAGGTTCAAAAAGTGTTTAGTCACTGTACCTATAGGGCTCTTTCCATGACAGTATAGTGGATTATGTAATCACACCATTCCTGCTTGTTGAATTCTGAACCTCTGTACCAATATCAATGTTACACTAGGTTGTTAAGTGCCATCAGCAGGTTCCATCCAGTTCATAGCGACCTCATGCAACAGGACAAAGCACTGCCTGGTCCTGCATCATCTTCATGTTTGTTATATTTAAATTTATTCTATCAGTCCATTTCTGTAAGGATCTTCTCCACCCCCCCTTTTTTTTTTCTGCCACGCCTCTACTTTACCAAGCATGATATCTTCCTATAAGGACTAGTTCTTCCTGGTAACATGTCTGCATTGTATGAGACAAAGGCTCTTCATTCTTGCTTCCAGGGAGCATTCTGCCAGTACTGAATTTAAGACAAATTTTTTTGTTCTTTATATAATGCTTTGTATATTTTGTGCAATCCAATAAATACTTGGTGAAATGAACCTCAATCTTTCAAACCTCTTCAAGTTCTTGTTTCTGCTAATTCTGGAAACTTTGCTGGCCAATCTGAGTCTATGGATGTAATTTATTTCTCTAATAAAGAAGTTGTACTTTGTCAAAAAAGCTAGTGGAAGCTCAGTTTTCTTTTTTTGACCTTTACTCCTACCTGTCTGTATCCAGAGGAAGAGATGCTCAGCCCCACTTAATCTGTCAACTGCTTTCTGCCTCAAGCAGGGAGAATCATTGATTTAACATTGCCTTTTATCAGCTCAAAAGCTAACACTGGATTGGTTTCCTGCCCTAAGCATATCTATGGTCAGTTATGCTGTCCTCCTTCCACAAAGAATGTCCTGTCTTCTCTATCTGGTCCAGTTCGCTTCAACTCATACCTCAAATACATCATATTTTCTTCTTCCCTGGCCTCTCTGGCTATCCTAATTTCTTCCCTCTCAGATTACTCATTTTATTCCTAGTCATTATCTGCATTTTGGTTCTTATTTTTCTAATGCTCATGTGTTTTCAGGGAGGATATGCTGTGTTTATCTGAGAAAGGTACCTTGTCTTATGTTTTATATCCTTCTGACTGTAGCCATAGACCATACACTGTAGTAGACATTTAAGAAATGCTTATTGGGTTAAATGGAATCTTACCTAGAGATTAATAAGAGGAAATGCCAAGACTTGTAACAGAAATTGTATGCTGTGTTTCTATTCCTACTAGGTCAGCTATCATCTTGAAATGAGCTTCTTTGAAGTATATAATGAGAAAATTCATGACCTTCTGGCTTGTAAAGGTGAAAATGGACAGAGTAAACAGCCTGTAAGATTAAGCAATTTTTTATTTGTCTTTTATAAATTCATGGAATTAGATGAATTTTCAAGATTATTTGTTTTACCTTTTTACTAAAATACTATTATGTGTTTGCAAATACTTGGAATTAATGTTATTAATTTATTTTTTAGTGAAAAAAAAAACACCAATCATCATTAGTAGAAATTAAATTAGTTACTTAATACTTCTTTATTTTAATTATGTAAAGTTAATGCTGAACTAGTCATTACGAGATTTTGTTATGACCATTTCAGTGAAGCATGTAATACTTAGTAGCAATTGCCACTAAGCTAAAAACACAGGAAAACAAACTTTAAATCTTAGTGTACTTGCTTTTATAGCACATTGGTATTTTACAGAGACTTAAAAATTTTATATTGGTTTGCATACAAAATTCATATACATTGTGCTTCATTTCATGTATATTGTGTTTCATTCATATACATTGTGTTTCATGCAATAACTCACATACATTGTGTTTTAATAAGATGAATCACCAACAAACACATGAGGAAAGGCTCCAAATCACTGGCAGTAAGGGAGATGAAAATCAAAATCACAATGAGATACCATCTCACCCCAGTAATAGTGGCAAAGTATAACAGGATGGCAAGCAGTAAATGTTGGAGAGGAAGTGGAGAGATTGAAACTCTCTTGCACTGCTAGTGGGATTGTATAATGGTGCAGCCACTTTGGAAGACAGTTTCGCGTTTCCTCAAAAAGCTGAACAGAAGAATAATTATTGCCTTTGAGTTGTTGTGATAGAGAAGAGTATTGTATATCCCATGGACTGCCAAACAAACAAATAAGTTATCTTGGAGGAAACGCAACCAGGATGCTCCTTAAAGGCAAGGGTGGTGAAACCTTGTCTCCTTTGAACATGTTCTCAGGAGAGGCCAATCTTTGGAAAAAGACATTGTGCTGGGAGAGATGAAGGGTCAAAGAAAGAGAGGGAGACCCTCAACAAGAGGGATTGACCCAGTGACTGTAACAAAGGGCTTGATTGACCCAGTAACTGTAACAAAGGGCTTGAGCATATCTGAGATCGTGAGGATAGTGCAGACAGGGCAAGGTTCAGATCTGCTGTTTAGAGGGTTGATATGAGTTGTAGTTGGCACCTAACAACAATGATAACACAGCTTAAAGAGTGCTATACTTAGGCGAGCTCTGGTGGCCTAGTGGCAAGAAGCTGCACTACAGTCCCGGAGGTGTGAGATTCAAATCCACCAGATGCTCTGCTGAAGAAGGAGGAACAATCTCCTCCTGTACCAGTCAGATCTGATTTGACGGTACATACACAAATAAAATAAAAAATGCTGCGTTTAAAAAATATATTTAAAAAAAGAGTGCTACACTTTATATGTTGTATACGAATTTTGTACGCAAAGCAATATAAAATAAAAAAGGAATCTTAAAATAAGAAAATAAAAACTGAATATAGAAATTCCATATGACCCAGCTATTCTATTGCTAAGAATATACCCTGAGGAAAATAGAACACAAGTGGAGATTTGTTGCCCATGTTCATAGAAGTATTGTTTATAATAGCAAGGAAATGGAAATAGTCCAAATGTTCATCATCAAACAAATGAATTGAGAAATTATTATACATTCACTCAATGGAATATGATGCAGCACTCAGGAGTAATTATTTAATAAAATACTGTAATAACATGGGAGAGTCCAGAGAACATTATACTGAGTGAACTAACTCAGTCTCATAAGGACAAGTACAGCATAAGACCATTATTGTAAAAATAGATCAAGGAATGTAGTCTACAATATGGATTGAAACTCAGCAGTAAGAAGACAAAAGATTCTCACCACTGAGCCAATTGGTAGCACCATATTACACGGAGAAGAGACTGAGGCTGTTACAGCTTGCTCGGATCCACAATCAACAGTCTTCACACCAACAGTCAGGAATTGCGCTGGGGAAATCTACTGTCATGGACCTCTCCAGAGTGCTGAAGAGCAACGATGTTAGTTTAAATATAATGGTGAGCCTAATTCAGGCCGTGGTTTTTCAATTACTTGTTATATTTCAGAGAGTTAGATAATGACTAAGGATGACAGAAGACGAATAGATGCCTTCGAGTTCAGGGGCTGGAGAAGAGTCTTGAGCATACCATGGACTGCCAAGAAAACCAAATAGGTCTGTCTTGGAGAGGGTGAAACCAAGTCTTTTCTTGGAGGTTAGGATTTCGAAGCTCTGCCACTTTGGGCACATAGCCAGGAGGGACTAGTCCTTGGAGAACGACATCATGCTCGGAAGAGTGGATGGACAGTGCAGGAGAGGGAGACCCCGGATGAGAGGGATTAATACAGTGACTGGAGCGATGGGGGTTGGTGTGTTGGAGATAGGGAGACTGGTTCAGGACAGAGAAGGGTTCAGAGCTGCTGTACATAGGGTCGCTATACATCACAGGCGACTCAATGGCACATAACGGTAACATACTATGACAGGTTTGGAAGCAGAAGTGGCATCTACTTCCTAAACAACATGCCTCCGGAAACTCTATGAACTTCGGTAAATGTCAGTAGTTGTTGAGGGACTTCAGGCCTTTTGTTCATAGGGTCCCTTATGAGTTGTGCTCAACTCAAAGGCAATCAACAAAAAAACTGTTTTAATGAAAAAGTTTTACCCTTTGAAAGAATTTTAGAACACTAAAAACTAAAATCTGAAGAAGTCAATTGACTTGTCCAAGGTCAGACAGCTTATTCTTAGCAAAATCAAGGGACTTAAAGAAAACTTGGCATTTTCTGGGATCAAGATGGAGGAGGAGGAAGATGAGTGGGAAAAGAATAGCTAGATAATGAACACTGCACTGGAATGGGTGAAAGAAACGACAATCTGAAAGGAATAGACATATAAAAAGCCATGATAATTAATAGCCTGAAACGAGACAAGCACTACAAGGGGACTGAAGGAGGGAGAGGGAAGGAAGTGTGCACGAATGAAACCAATCTTTTTGTAAACCTTCACTAAAATGGAAAAAAAAATCAAGGGTTTTTTTTTTTTTAAAGCCAAAACACTCCATTTTGACATTTTCTTCTATGAGTCTTAAAATTTCAGATCAAAGTTTAAAATTTATAAACATGAAGAAAATATTAAATGCCTGAAATTTAGTGAACGTGTTTAGGAGAGCTACTTAAAAGCATATAGTCCTTTCTCATTCTTTCTGTGAGGGTTCCCCAGTTGTCCTTCATAGATGCTTACTGGGCTCTCCAGCGCCTGCCCCTGACGCTGGTCCTGAGGGAAGACTGGGTGGTTGCCTATTACTACCTTGACACATTACAGCATTCAGACTCTTGAGTCCCACAGACGATTCTGTAGCATCACATGCACTTTCATTTGTTAGAGCATTTAGGATGTTCATCATGGTGATATCTTTGGATAATAGCAAAGTCTTCATGAATAAAATCTATTTTCTGGGAATAATGCTGAAAGATGACTAGAACACTAATGGTGGTTCATGATAGAGAGTTCCATGTTCCATTCTCATTGGCTCCTAACGATTTTGCAGATAAAAGGAACATTAACCTGTTTAAGCAGCTGCCAACTTAGGGGGAGTGATTTGGATCTATAAGCTTATTTACCTTTTGGTTTTTATGCAAACTGGATTGTAATAAAATATTTTACAGGAAAAAAGCATATAAGTTACTACAGAATTTAAGTAAGACTTGTGAGTGAATCACTTCCAAAGAGAATACAAAACTGGAACTAAGAAAAACAGTACCCTTCACAATAGCTAATCACAAGATTAAATACTTGAGTAAATCTAACTAGAAACACAAAGGACCTATTCAAAGAAAGGTACAAAACATTACTACAAGAAACAAAAAGAGACCTGGGGAAGTGGAAGAATATCCCTTGCTCATGGATAGGAAGACTCAATATTGTGAAAATGACAATACTACCAAAGGCAATTTACATGTTCAATGCAATCCCAATACAAATACCAATTCCATTCTTCAATGAAACAGAAAAGGCAGTCTCCAATTTCATTTGGAATGGAAAGAGGCCCCGAATACGCAAAGCACTCCTTAAAAAGAGAAACAAGGTAGGAGGCATCTCACTCCCTGATTTCAACACTGCCGTGATGGTCAAGACTGTGGTATAATACAATGATAGACACATAGATCAATGGAATAGAATTGAGAATTCAGAAATCAGCCCATCTACCTATGGTCAACTGAATTTTGACAAAGAGATGAAATCAGTTAGGTGGGGAAACGACAGCCTTTTAACAAATGGTGGTGGCAAAATTGGAAAAATATCTGCAGAAGACTCAAGCAAGATCCATACCTCACTCCATACACAAAAACCAACTCAAAGTGAATCATGGACCTAGGAATAAAACCAAGGACTATAATCTTCATTAAAGAAAAGCTTGGAAGAACTCTTTAAGTCCTAATATACAACATAAACAGTCTTTCACACATCCTGAAAAACCAACAACTGGGAGAGGATAAAATAGATGAATGGGATCTTCTAAGAATCAAATCCCTATGCATGTCAAAAAACTTCTCCAACAGGGTAAAAAAGGAATGTCACAGACTGGGAAAAAATATTTGATAATGACATGTCAGATAAGTGACTGATATCTAGAATTTATAAAATATTCAAGCACCACAAGATAAAGGTAAACAACCCAATTGAAAAATGGGTACAGGATATGAACAGACACTTAACCAAAG